AGGGTGGGGGGTGGGGGGGGGTGTCACTGGTGTTACGACTGCCCTTTTTGCTTGGCCCGCCAAAGACATCATACCGTGGGTGGTTGGCGGGTGCTCTGGTGCGGTTTGCTCCTTCTTTCCTATAAAAAAATCTATCGCCCTTTCTCTCCTCCTTCTTTCCCATCAAACATCTATCGTCCTTATCTCTGCTCCTTCTTTTTTGTGTCTGTTACTCGCTTGTAACACCTCTAATCTTCGGCACTTATATGACCTTATTGTGTTGCAAGTGCCGTAAAACTCTTACTAAAACTAAAAGCCATCATACCAAGACCCTCCCCCCTCCCCTGTGCCGAAGTTTGTGTCACGGAAACTCACCGTCCGCGTTCATTGTTGTAGCACTTTGGTGCTTCGCACGCAGAAGACTTGACTTTGAACACCGAGACGGATAATTCCTTTTATTTTTTTAGAGTCCCCGTCAATCTACTGGGACGTTGCATCCCTCTCAGCCCGGTTTTTCCCATGCAGGCAGAGTCAAAACCCGCCCACTAATTGATCTACAATATGTCGATGGAGGCATATTAAAACATCTGCTAAAATAACAAAACAAAACAATTTCCATTTTTCCCGCCCTCTGTGGTGTGTCCTGTACTCCTGTCTGTTAGCTTGGGTCTCGGCAGGCAGACCCAGCGGCCAATTTCCTAAACGAAATACGAAATGAAATAATAATTTATCTACGTATATAATTGGGACTGTAGCTTTAACAATAGCTGAGCGCCGAGACTCAAATCATAGCCTTTTCCTCCAGGGACCGTAGACTGTGAAGTTGTCCTTTGTCCATGTACCGTTTGGAGTTGTCCTATGCTGTGACCAGTCTGGTGTCTGTGACTATGGACGTCAAAGTTCCTCGCACTCTATGACCCGTGATATAGCCAGTGACGTCACCAGACATTTCACACCCCGGTCCCTGGCGCCCCACCGGTCAGAAACAGCTGTCACCAACCACAACAACCCCAAACCCACACACCCGCTCTGTCCTTCTCCCTGATTTTCTTTCTTTCTTTCTTTTATTCCTTTTTATCCAGAACACAATATTTTGTCCTCCTTTCCCGAGTCACTGAAACAGTGGGATGTTGGAGCCTACTTCTTTCCTTTCCCGAGTCACTGAAACAGTGGGATGTTGGAGCCTACTTCTTTCCTTTCCCGAGTCACTGAAACAGTGGGATGTTGGAGCCTACTTCTT